TATTTACTTTCCTTACTATATATATATATATATATATACACATATATACCATGCCAATATTCTTCCATGATGAGCAAAAATGTAACAAATGCATATTTTTTGTTGCATTAAATTGATAACATTTTCATTTTGAAGTAGGTTATTTGATTACTTTAGTTGATTAAAGCCAAGAAAACATTTCAACATGATACACTACAAAGACACAAGAAGGTCTGGCTACATAACTAGAACTTTGACACTCTTGTACTAATAGTAAAATTTATGTACAGTACCAGTAAAACCATCCTCAACATTACCGATGGCTAAAAACCAACAAGATTTAAAATCTGTAAAAAGTCAGTTTGTTTTAATCAAGCTTGCAATGATCTCACACCACTTTCTACACTGAACAAACAGGAAATGGTTAAATACCACCTCTAGTTTCCATTTTAAAAGCATTTCTTAAACTTTGGTATTCTTGGAATTGTCAGCCCAATAATTCTGTATGGTGACAGCTTCCAGACTGTTCAGAAAGGAGTCGTTATCCAGGGACGACATTTCTTCTGTGCTGTCCTAAAAAGTATGTGAATATTCAATTAGTATTAAATGGTAAGAAGGTTTTATAACTTTGTTAGCCACCATAATACAAATGTTCATTGTTGTCAAATATTCTTTAAACTTTTAATATAATCTATTTAATATATTCTCTCGCTACAACCAACTTTGTAAACCATGTTGTACTCATCATAGTTTCTATACTATCACTTTTCATACACTTTGTGTGCCTTCACAACATTTGGCAGACTTTTAGTAAACATTACAATTTTTTTACACAAAAAATCAGATTTTTTAAGGAAGTATTTTTACTAAAGATTTGTCCATGAATATATATAGTATTTACATATACTAGCTCGAGTGTTAAGTGATTTCCATGTTAAGATTAAAAATACTTTCGTCTCAAAAATCTAAAATTTTATTTGTGTAATTTCTGAAACCTCCTAAATAAATTTCAAGCATTTTTTGTGAGTAAAACTTTATATTATATTTCTTATTTTCTCTACCCTAACTTTATACAAGGTCGGTCAATTTGACCAACCTCGTAACCACCAAAAAAAAAAGAAGTAAATACATCTAAATTACCTTTTTTCTTTCTAGAATGGCTTCAAATTGTAATATGAAACTACATTTGTTTATCTTAAATAGATATAAATTTATAACACTATACATTTATTTATACTTAAATTATATTGTTTTATTGCCCTTTGAACCATGTTTAACTTATATTTACACCCTTATAAGTTGTAAGTCACTTGGAGAACGTGCAGCTCATGTTATGTTATCGAATTACATTAGGCACAAGTTACTCGTGAGCATACCTCATGTAACAATTATACATGTTACTATTATTTCACCTAAACTAACCTAAAGAGAATTCCTAGTTTTGCATTAGATACTTTTTTTAATAATAATAAATAAAGTATATACACAAAAAACAAAAAAAAGTACTTATCTAGGTATTTTATTTTATTTTTTGCTGTCGATGACATTTAACCCTATTTTTTTTATACTAATGGTAGTTCTACACTGAATAATTTTTCATTTAATTAAATAATGCACCAAAGAACAGAATAGTAATGTGCATAAAGCAGATAATATCCCATAAGTATCACAATTTTTTCTAACTATGTGACAAGAGCTGTTAAAGCTTCATCTAAGCTCACAGATGAGTTTCGCATGAGAATCAAGGTTGAACTGAAAGCAAAATTGACAATTCTCTTTACAGAAATATCATATAATATGTCCTTTGATAGAAGAAAACCTTGGCTTTCTATTGGTTATAAATAACATAGTGTTGAATGTCAGAGAGAGCTACTGGCAATTTCTGATAGAGAGGATATGCCAGGTGGGCATGGCAAGAGGGGTCTGGTTGTCTTGTAATCAAATAAGATTGAAGGTTATGAAAATTATGCTTTGCCTGACTGATGACGATATTATAATAAATAATTTGTATTCCATACTTCTCAGAGGAGTGGTAAATACATTAGAGAAAAGAAGATGCCAAGAGAGCAAATGTCACAAACCTCACACTAGGGGAAATTATTAAAAATAAATTTAGAATCAAGAACTTAAAACATATATATTATTAAAACATGGATTATTAGCTACATTTTTATGCTATATTTATCAGTACACCATGAAAAGAAAGTAGTTTAATTAAGTTTTGAATGTAACTCACTAAAAGCTCATGAAATGTACAGAAAAAGTGGTCTGTGGAGTGAGGGTTAATATGAACATGAAAACAGTAAGGCCATCTATTTGTTGAATCTCATTTTACAAGTAAGAACAGTTTTATTAAATCAGATGTATTCTTTACAGGTTAATTTTTAGTTCTGATATATGTCAGTAGCTTGTTCTGATCACTGATCAGCCTTGTTTGCAAGAGGATGTTACCAAGTAACCATTTTTATAAAAAAACTAGCTATCCTTGATTGCAGGCTTCTGTTGCCATGCGACCACTCTCACAAGGACTTAAGTACAGAGAAACATTGCGAAACAACAACCACACTTACAGATGTCATAGCATTAAGAGTTAAAAACATGAGCTCTGTGTATTTACTGAGAGGAATGTTGTGTTTAGAAAGAAGACAACTCTTACTAATTGAATAACTTATACTAAAATAGTGAAGCATAAGTCATTCAAATTAATCTAATATAAACTTCAAAAGATATATCTCCTTTACTTCAATACAAACTATATAAAGTTATAAGCTCCACATACATAGAAACTCTAAACAACTTACAAAGACAAATACTTTACTTTCTTTCACAGTTGTAGGAGTATTTCTGAATTCACCATAACTGTTATAAGTATTTAAAATTGATAGTCTTTGATTAATTCATGAGCTTAAAGACAACAGTTATATTCTGTAATCATATTCTTCTTGAACATACTGTAACTAACTGAACAAGTCAACTTCTAGATATCCCTTACTTAACAAACCGAGTAACATTCTTCTTGAACATACTGTAACTAACTGAACAAGTCAGCTTCTAGATATCCATTACTTAACAAACCGAGTAACATTCTTGTTGAACATACTGTAACTAACTGAACAAGTCAGCTTCTAGATATCCCTTACTTAACAAACCGAGTAACATTCTTCTTGAACATACTGTAACTAACTGAACAAGTCAACTTCTAGATATCCCTTACTTAACAAACCGAGTAATGGCAGTTTGAAGGTTGTAGCTGTGAAGGTAACATTATGAGAATATCAAGAGAAATAGATGGTTACTTAACATTTGTATTTTTTAAAACACAGCTGAACATTTATGTAAAAGTACCAGAGTATTTGAGATATCACAAGATATAGACAGCTGATCTGGGACCTTGATCTTTGTATTTGAGATATCACAAGATATAGACAGCTGATCTGGGACCTTGACCTTTGTATTTGAGATATCACAAGATATAGACAGCTGATCTGGGACCTTGACCTTTGTATCTGAGATATCACAAGATATAGACAACTGATCTGGGACCTTGACCTTTGTTGTGATATATATATAATAAATGTATAATATTTGAAGGTAGAGTAAACTGACAGGACTTAACAACACATCAGCCATGTATTCAAGATGTTAGAAAAGCACGTAGCTTCAAGAAGTCTTGATAGAGATGAATAAAAAACCCTACAACCCGAGTGCTTTCGAAAGGTGGACCTTTCTTTTTCAGGGGCAAACTGGGAATGGTGGTGTAATCGTATGAGTGATATATATATATATATATAAAGGGAGTTTAGTGACGTCATCAAGGTCATCCGGTTTTCCAGGAAATGTTTAGTCTATCTCTCTATGTACTGTTGAAAGCATCTCATTTCTGGTACAGTGTAGCCAATGGCGAGAGTGTATGTGAAAAGGTGTTAGGGATATTTTACTTTAGAATTGGCTAAATATGTGTATATTTAAAACTATACTTAAGTGTTTAAGTAAAATAAAGGTAACACCTTGAGACTGATTGAAAAAGATATGTTATGCTAATCAATTTATAAAAACAGGTATGGAAAATTATCTTAAATAAATAGTAAGTTTTAGGAAATTCAGTTACATGAAAAAATATGCAAAGAATAAAACTTATTTTTCTGACAGAGATGAAACCAATGAACGGAGATCACTGATTCCAGGATCTAGATTAATTGTGAAAGGTTGAGCAGTGTTTAGATTAGCAATCCAATAAGCTTCTTTTATTTCTCTATCTGCTTTAGTTTTGAATCTGTTTCAATGCCGATGAGAGTAACATCATTAATAGAATGACCGGGTTGGTTAAAGTGTTGAGCAACAAGGAGTTACATCATTAATGGAATGACCGGTTGGTTAAAGTGTTGAGCAACAAAGAGTTACATCATTAATGGAATGACCGGATGGTTAAAGTGTTGAGCAACAAAGAGTAACATCATTAATGGAATGACCGGGTTGGTTAAAGTGTTGAGCAACAAAGAGTAACATCATTAACGGAATGACCGGGTTGGTTAAAGTGTTGAGCAACAAGGAGATCTTTTTCAGTGTTAATAAAAAAAGTTATGGTTATTGAAATGTTCTCAGAGTTGTTTGTGTATGTCCTACATACTGGCATTTTTTATACTGTATAAGGTAAATGGTGTTTTTTGGTTCAAAAGTGATTTCAAGTGTATTCAAGATGTACACGTTCAATCATGTGTTCATGATGTCCACGTTTAACCATGTGTTCATGATGTGCATGTTTAACCATGTGTTCATGATGTGCATGTTTAACCACGTGTTCATGATGTCCACGTTTAACCACGTGTTCATGATGTCCACATTCAGCCAAGTATTCAAGATATCCACGTTTAACTACGTGTTCATGATGTCCACGTTTAACCACGTGTTCATGATGTCCACGTTTAACCACGTGTTCATGATGTCCACGTTTAACCACGTGTTCATGATGTCCACGTTCAATCATGTATTCATGATGTCCACATTTAACCATGTGTTCATGATGTCCACGTTTAACCATGTGTGTATGATGTCTACGTTTAACCACGTGTTCATGATGTCCATGTTCAACCATGTATTCAAGATATTCATGTTTAATCATGTATTCATGATGTCCACGTTTAACCACGTGTGTATGATGTCCACGTTTAACCATGTGTTCATGATATCCATGTTCAACCATTTATTCAAGATATCCATGTTCAACCATTTATTCAAGATATCCATGTTCAATCATGTATTCAAGATACTGAAGTGCTTTAGTCCTTTAAAAAATTAATGTTAAAACAATCAAAACATTTGAGATTGTATCACATTGGGTTTTACACTGAACTAAGAATTTAGGAAATTTTCAGGTGAAATGCGAGCCAAGTTTCTTATCTTATTTTTAGTGTAATTGTACCTTCAGATATGCACTTTAAGTTCTCTAGATCACTTACAATAAAACACTGACATCTGTATTTTCAACCAGTATGTTTATTTGTCTGCAACCCAATCAACTCCTTACTTGAAACCTTATATTTTTTTCATATTCCTGTCTGTTTTGTATATATATAGATAGATAGATTTTAGCAAAAAGAACTAAAAAGTCTTAAATGTTACAATTTTAAATAAAACATAATAAATGAAACAAAGTAATCTGTATAAAAATATTCAAACTCTGAAGAAAATTTTTTCCCCTGGGCAGAAATCAATGAGAAAACAAAACTGAAACCCACAGGACTAACCTTTGGAAGCTCAATATGGCTGTTCATATAGCTTGTTCTTACAGAGTCATCAATATAAGCACAGCTGTCTGATGAACACTTACTCTCCAGTTTATTGACTGCCTTGCAATAATCTTTGTTGTGTAGGAGAAGAAACGTCACTGCTACAGAAACAGCAAGATCTTTACATTTGGAAAAATCACACACAAACCATCAAATATTCAGAATATTCATAACTGAAAAGGCATCTTTTATATGGATTGGTTAGAACTGAAACCAAATTAACTAAAGAGGCGTCATTCATACCGAGTTACTTTTTCAATATCTACCTAACCAGTACTTTATAAGACACTAAATCAAGTTTTTACCTCCAGCAAAGAATTATCGCAAGACTTGCTGTGCTAAAATACAAGTTTCAAGGTTTTACCTAACCAGTAATTCATAAGATAATATATTCAAGAATATTTTTACCTTGTTTCATCAAACAGTATAAGACTTTTAATTAGCATCATTTTGTGTTTGGTCACTGTTTCCTAGAAGTTTATATTTACATACATTTGGAGATTTTCTTTAAATAGCTCTCATTCTCAAATTGATTCATTTTCCTTTTGTCACAAATAAAGTCACATCTGTTCAAACAAGTAAACATATTTCAGGAGTTTACTTAAAAGTATACGTGTACAAATACGCATTGATAAGTTCATCTTTCTCTCTTCTGAATTATGTATCATGTATTTTTTAAGATGACATCTAATGACATCTCGACACCCGAAATGGCTAACAGGTCATGTAAGTGGCATCTTTCATCATAAATTAATTGTTATGAACACATCAGTAATTCAAAACTTCATCCATTAGTACATGTATCTTGTTTGGTAGTTTTATATACGTAAATACACAAACCATGTTGTTATAATAGTAATACACGCAACCAGCACACTAATCATTCAATATAACAGTCATGTAATACATGTATCTTGGTAGTTTTATATATGTAAACCATGTTGTTATAATAGTAATACACGCAACCAGCACACTAATCATTCAATATAACAGTCATGTAATACATGTATCTTGGTAGTTTTATATATGTAAACCATGTTGTCATAATAGTAATACACTCAACCAGCACACTAATCATTCAATATAACAGTCATGTAATACATGTATCTTGGGAGTTTTATATATGTAAATACACAAACCATGTCGTTATAATAGTAATACACTCAACCAGCACACTAATCATTCAATATAACAATCATGTAATACATGTATCTTGTTTGGTAGTTTTATATATGTAAATACACAAACCATGTTGTTATAATAGTAATACACTCAACCAGCACACTAATCATTCAATATAACAGTCATGTAATACATGTATCTTGTTTGGTAGTTTTATATATGTAAATACACAAACCATGTTGTTATAATAGTAATACACTCAACCAGCACACTAATCATTCAATATAACAATCATGTAATACATGTATCTTGCTTAGCATTCTATTTATGTAAACATACAAATGATATGAATACACTCACCTGTCAATCCTGCTAGGGAAATAATCCCTACAACAATGCCAGCAACAGCACCTCTACTCACGGTATCCTGCGTGCTATCACGAGCTTCAGAAACTGGTGCCATGATTGATGGAGGATTAGCTGGGGCACGTTCAACATTAAACCCACTCCCCGCTGGTTGATCATTAATTAAACCGAGGTCAGGATCAGTTTTTGAAGAAGGATACTTTCCTGAAGTTTGTCTGTTCTTATCCAGGGGATCAGAGCTGTTGTCCAGTTTGGCTATCCACGTTACAAGTCCTGTGGTGGGAAAATCAGTAGGCTTGGTGATGTTTTTCAAAGTTTTTTCAACACTTGTGTCATTTCTTGCTGTTTTATCAAATAAACGAGAGTGTCTATTACTTCTGACAAAGGGACCTTCTGGAGATGCTAAGTGATCGACTTGTGCCATTCCTGCTATTTTGTTTACTTTCATTGTCTCATTGTCTGTTGGGAAGTTTTCCAAAGGAGTAATTGAAGAGTGATATACTCCTGACTCTGAAGAAGTGTTTGGTATAGAAGTAGCACTGGAGTTTTTCTTGATGGCTTGAATAAAGCTGTAATTGTCACCAGCATTTTGATTATATAATTCTGTGGTCTTTAAATCACTATCTGTAATGGGAATCTTAAATGAGTTGTCAGATTCGCTTTCTTTATTCTCTGGTGAAAGAGTGGATTGGTTTGAGAACGAAGAAGAATATACATCTTCGCTTTTCTTAACAGTTTGAGAAATCTCAGTGCCAGCATCGACATCTGGTAGTCCATCGTTATAGAACCCCCTGCTGTTATAACCACCGTGTTCATCATTTGGGAAGAATCGTCTCAGTTTACCTGGTTTATTGCTTTTGGAATGATGAGAACTTGTGCTTATGTTAGACTCTTCAAGTAGTAATGAACCACCAGAAGATAGTATTCTGTCAGAAACCTTTCGAGATGAAGGATGGAAGTATGGTATTTTTGGATGATTAACTGAGCTATCAACAGGAGTAACAGTTCTAAAGTTAAGATCAAGGTTACTAGATGATGTTTCATACCATCCTTGAGAAAGGTCCAAGTTGTGTGAATGATGCTGTAATGGCACTCTATCCTGATGATGACTTTCAAATGATGAAGCTTGTGATGCACCAAATATTCTGGTTGGAAATGATGTACTAATTGTAGGAATTACTTTCTTATTGAGTGGCCATGTTGATGACATATGTCCCAGAATCGCAGTATCAGAGAGTTCAAGTGCCATAAATTCACCATCAGAGGTACGGATGTCTTGGTATGGCAAACTCTGCTGATGTAATCCTCCAGATGAGGACTCTGTAGTTGAGGGAGTATGATCAGAGAATGTTGAGTCCCCTTTTTGAACAGGAAAACATGTGCACTCCAAGAAAACACCAAAGATGATTCCAAAAACTAAAATAAGTGAAGAAGAGAAATGTACAATTTTCTAACAAACCACTTCAAATAACAATATTGTACCACTAATGCAC